TCGGGCTTGGTCGTGCAGTGCTTTGGTCCGCGGCATCTCGCCCTGCGTGCTCTTCCCCGTCTTCGCTACTTGTGTCCCTCATGTCGCGTCCGTGCTTGATCAGACTTTCCTCTCATCTCCCTTAGGGTCTTCTGCTATCCCATTTCCTCGCTCCTGGCAAGGCAGCCAGTGATCTCACCATCTTTACGGCCAAAAAAATAAAAGGAGGGACTGGGCATACATAATTTAAGGTTTTTCGTAAGAGGCATGACAGGGTTTTACCCGGCGTTTGGTGCAGAGCCTGAAACGAGGCAGCTCCGAAAAAGTGGTGAAATGCCAACGGCAGTCTTGTTCCCGGAGCAAAGCCCCGGGGCAGGGCACCGTCCTGCCGCGAGCAGAGAAACGCAGCAGGCAGCTGCTGGACAAGGACCAGCAAAAGGCAGTTTATTGGCATGTTCACGTTCATTTCCAGGATTTGAAGTAACACATTTTCCTTTCTCGCTGCATATGGAGGAGTTTGGGGCTTTTTTTTTTTTTTTTTTAACCATACTTTTTAAGCAAAAGTTTTTTGGTGAAGCAGAATTGCTAGCAGCAATGCTCTTCTTCCTCTCCTTAAGCTTGAATTTGGTAAACTTTCATGAAAAATTTAATCTTTTTAAAGTAATTTCATCTATGTCATACTATTAAAACACTCATAGAAAAAAGTTAGAAACCAAAATAAGCTGCAGTCAGCTGGGTAGCTGGGTAATTTTCCCCTGCTACATAACTTCGTGTTGGAAGAGGGACAGTTTCATGGAAAAACTTGTAAGGGCAATAATTTTCGACCGGTGCTTATTCATCATCTTTTGCCATTGCAAGACTAAGCTGTGGGTTCATATTTGATGAGCCCATTTGGCCTTCAAATGCTTTACAGGCACTTTTTTTCTTCCCTTTTTTTTTTTTTTTTTTAATGTGAACAACATCCTTTGGTCCAGCTGTCACAACAGGCAAGTGCTGTTTACATCAGGGTGGGTTTTTTTTTTGGACCAGACTTGTCCAAATAAAGAGACGACGCGTGTAACTTCCAGCTTTGCAAGCCTGGGGAAGAAGACAAAAGTCAAGCCACCTCCTGCATCGTTGCCGTTATTGTTTAGACACTTCGGGGTCAGTTGCTGGCCTTGATTGTATTTCTGTTGTCCTTTTATCTAACTAGGATGGCGCTGATTTAAGGAAGGGGACTTGGCCGTGCAGCTGCCACCTTGCTAGCAGAGTAAAGCCCAGCTCCTTTTCCAGAGCAGGTTGCTCTCCACCCTTGTTACTCGCTTCTTTATGGATTATTCGTGTGGGTTTTCCCTCTTTGAAATGGATAGCCGAGTTTTAAATGCCAGGGATTGAATCCCATGAGTAAAGAGATGCTATTCTGGGGCATGGTCCTGCTCCAGAAGAAGAGCATACTGTAAATATAATGTTTTTCTCGCTCTTTTTTTTTTTTTTTTTTTTTCCCCCCAAGGGGAATTTGGGCAAATAGGTTAACCAGCCTGCAGGAAGTCAGGTGCTTTTTTGGTCAACCCCTTCAAATGGCCACAGTGTAATCAGAGGCCTCCTGACGGAGAATCACACTGTTATCCATCTAATTTCTTTTAAGTAACCAGCATTACGAGGTATATTAAAAGAAGGTGATGTTTAGCTCTAACTTTAACTAAATTTGCTCAAACGAGCCTATTAAATACATCCCAACACTGTTTTCAAATTTTTTCTCCCCGTGCTGTAACTGATGGTGTTTTTCCTCTTTACCTTCAGGGATTTTTCTGTTTCGCTCTGGCCTTCTGCGGATTGGTCCCAGCTGCCTGCTGGAGATACGCACGCAGCACGGAGGTAAGCGTCGGCCGCTAGGAAATACCACCAGCATCTTGTCAGATAGAGTTGTTTTGGGTTTTGGTTTGGGTGTTTTTTTTTTTTTTGGTAGCAACTATTTTTCCCATAAAAGGGACATCTGGCGGTAATTAAGCCGTCCACGCCGAGGCCGATCAGATGCATGCTCTGTCGCATCCATCCTTTGCAGGA